TTCCTGCTCTGGGTCCCTGGTGGTATGTCGAGAGGTTTGGGTCTAGGTCAAGTGTAGCTTAAATATCCACATGGCAGGTCCCGCTAGGTTAGACCTTGTTGCTGTGGATCCCCAAGAGGCAGAATTAGTAGATCCTGGGTTTAGCTTGAAAAACTGAAATACTGTTATCCCCTACCACATGCTCGCACACACCTACACACATGCATGCATGCACCCACGCACGCACACATACACCACAGACAGAATATGAGCCCCAGAGGGGCCGTGGACACACTCAGCCTTTGCATCTGATTTGCTCTGGGACATAGAGCCCAGTGATAGACTGTGTGGGGTCTGTTGCTACTGGCCCAAACCACGCAGACCAACGGCGCAATGCTTTAGGGTTTCATCCCTTCCTGTGGCCCATCTAACCGAAGAATGCTAGCACAGTGTCCAGCCTTACTCAGTACATAGAACATATTGAATAAAACCATCATGTCCTTTGAGGATTCCAGACCTAGCAGGGTCTCAGTGCTTGAAAGCATCCATTTTCATTCACACGCTGGATACGTAAACATCTCCAACCAGAGCCTACGTGGGCCAGGCGGTCACATCAACGGCGAAGGAGGAAGACCTGGATTCTTTAAACACACTTCGCTTGCATATTCCAAACATGAGAACAGTCTTCCCATTCATAGACGAGTTGGTTCTATCCTGCTTCTCTTGAAACATTTTAGCCTTCAAGTCTAACTTTGATTTTCCCACTTTTGAAAGAGATGTGGGTTCAAGAAATATTTTCCTGGTCTTCTCACGAGTGAAGGGAAAAAGGAAAGCAACTCAGTTGACGGTGAAGTCCAGCCCATGGGGTCCAGGCTACTCCACCACTATAATAATAACAGCCTGCATTTAACGAGCACGTTCTGTGTCAGGCACTGTGTTAAGCCCTTGACATGCAACACGTCCTCTAATCCTCCTAACCGCCCTATGAAGTAGGTGCTGATACTGTGCCCCCTTTCAGGTGCTGACGCTGAGGTGCAGAAGGCTGAAGCTGATGGTACCAATTCACACGGCCGGTCGGCGGTGGAAGATTCTGCACAGGCTGTCTGTGTCCAGGGTCTCATCGAGGCTACTGGCCAGTGAAGACCAATGAGTCTGGCCAGCAGTCAGAACTAGGCAGCAGACCGGGCAGGCGATGTCAAGTCACAAACAGCTCAGAGCAGCCACGACAGGTGGCCTCTGCCCTTGGATATCCATCCCCCCAGGTTTTCAGAGCCTCGTAGAAGCTACTGACTTGGGCACTCACGCCCCTTCGAGAAGGCTCCTAAGTTTGCTCATCCTTCCTGGGAGGGGAGAAGTCATGGTTTTGGAAGCTACAGATGGAGCGGCAGATGGGAAGTGAAAGCTTATCAGAGTTGCCCAGGATAAAACCATTCATCTGCAAAATTCATATGTTTCTGTGTGGGGCGATTTTACGAAAACAACAGCAAGAGGAAGCAGCAGTGCCTGATGCGTGAAGTGCCTCTGGCCACGAGGCTAGCAACGTGAGTGGCCAGAAGAGCTTGGGGTGGGGCGCATGGGAATGAGGGCCGTGGGGGGCAGAGGAGACACAGACTGACAGAGATGTCGAGACAACTGAAGCATTAAAGCTAAAAAAATGACGACTCCCTTCTCTGAACCCCCAAATGGGTGGGGCGCACGGTCTGAGAAAGGATTTCTGGATCTTTCTTGGAGGTTATGAGGTGCAGCCTTGGAGACAGCATGGGAATTAACAGTTGACATTTACTGAGCTTTCTAAGTGCCCAAACTCTGCTCGGTTCTATTGTTATAACCTGATTTCACAAAGATTGAATTTACTGGCCAAGGGTCACCCGCTCGTAAGGTGGCAGAACTCAGAGTCAAACCTTAAGCCATCAGATAGAAGCCTGAGTACTCATCCTCCTGCATACGAAATGCTAGAAATCCTGACATCCTGGCCGAGGCGACCTGGCTAAGTGGCCGCTGCTACAGCTTCAACTTGCAAATCAACAGAGGGCCTCTGGGGGGCAGCACTGAGACCTGATGAGATTCTTTCGGGAAGGGCCATGGGCTGGCCCACCTGCCCTTGAGATCTCTGGCCAAGTGTCACCACCTGACCGAGGCTGAGATGAACTCTGAGGCCTCCACAGGAGGTCCGGAGGTGGGAGAGTGAGACCCCAGACCCTTGACGGGAGTGCCTGCCACGCTAGCAGCTGCACTCAGCATGCTGGGATATTTCTGAATGCGGTCCTTATTTGGAAGGTGGAGGGAGAATGTTCTAACTCACCCATGCCTTGTGCTTCTCTACACTCACCTCTCCTCACCGTTTTGTTTATTATACTCCAGCCATGTTTAAATTTCTCAACGGCAACTAGTTCATCTCTGACCCGAGTCCAGGCTGTTCAGACGGTTCTCAGTTGGAGGCGATTTTGCTCCTCTGGGAACAACATCTGGAGATGTCTGTGCTTGTCACAAGTGATTGGGGGCGGGGCCCACTGCTGGCATCTAGTGGGTAGAGGCCAGGGGTACTGCCAAACGCCAGCAGTGAGCAGGGCAGCCCCCAGGACACAGAATGATCCAGCCTGATGTCACTCGTGTCTAGGTTGGGAAATCCTCGTCTAGAAGGATCTTCCTGTTTTCCATTTGTCTGCCGATCCCTTCTTATCCTTCAGGTCTCAGCTCGAAACTGCTGCCATTCTGACCCCCTGGTTATGCCCCTCCTCCACTCACACCATCTTCCTTTCTTTACAGTCTGTTCACACCTACTATGATGTGTCGCTTGCATGATTATCTAATTCTATCCTCCCAGCTAGGATCCATGCTCCACTGAATGCCCAAGGAGTGCTTGTAGTACTCACATAGTAGTTGCTTAATAAATGTTTGTGGAATGAATGTTTGAATGAATGAATAAGTAAGTAAAAGTCTGCCAGAGATACTTCATAATCACCCCCTTGGATTCCTGCCACCCTATGAATAAAAGAAAACTGGTATCTTTCTAATCCCCATCATTTTCCTCAGGTTCAAAGAGTGCCAGGAGTATCCTACGTCAACTAACCAAGGATTGTGCTTTCCCCTGATCTCCTCCAAGGTCCAGATTCTCCCAGCAGATGACGGGATGCCACCAAGCCCAGGACTGAAAGGGGCACAGGAAAGGAGACAGAAGCCATTGCTAGTTTTAAAGAGAGGTCTTCCCTCCATGCCTGTATCTTATATGATCTTGATTCAAAACCCAAATTCCTGGGAATATGTGATCTCCACATTTGATGGCATTAAGAATGACTGTTAATATTTTGGGTGTGATAATCAAATTGATGTTAAATTCCAAGAGAGACTTTACCTTTTAGATATGTTTACTGAAATATTTACAGATACAATTATATGACGTCTTGGAAATGCTTCACCAAGGGTTGGTGGAAGAGGGTGAAAGTCTGTACTTGTATAGAAACAAGGTGAATTGATTACAGTTGAAACTGGGTGACGTGGGGGTCACTATACTAGTCTCATATTCTTGTGCATGTTTGAAAATTGCCCGGATAAAGGAATATTAAACAACAATGACAAAAACTTTTATCTAGCTCTTCTGGGAATGCTATACCCAGTGCCAGGAGAGGAAGGAAGGCCCTCTCCCCTTCACCCTGTTCACCTCTCCTTTTCAGCCTTGTCAAAAATCAAGATGGGGGCTTCCCTGGTGGCACAGTGGTTGAGAGTCCACCTGCCAATGCAGGGGACACGGGTTCGTGCCCCGGTCCAGGAAGATCCCACATGCAGTGGAGCGGTTAGGCCCGTGAGCCATGGCCGCTGAGTCTGCGCGTCCGGAGCCTGTGCTCCGCAACAGGAGAGGCCACAACAGTGAGAGGCCCGCGTACCGCAAAAAAAAAAAAAAAAAATCAAGATGGAAGACACAGTCAAGCAAAGAGCTGCCTTCTTGATCGGAAATATAGTTCATTTTCTTGCCTTTTTACCCCTCTACAGATCTCCAGGGGTTTTCTTTGCTTACGTCTCTTTTAAAGAGTAGACCAACGTTCGTGCAAAGGGACAGGCCTTCCTGGTGGCATCTGAGTTTCTCTCTGCCTAGGGGCTGCTGGCTGTTCCGCCAGCTGCCCACAATTGTGGCCAAGCAGCCTGCAGGTTCAGTGGGAGGGCTTCAAGAGAAGCTAGAAATCTGGAGTTTCAGTTGCAATCTCCCGGTTTTAAAATGTGGGCAATCAACTCATGTGTTAAAATCTGAGAGGAGCCAGGTGAACACACCACGGGCCTCCAACAGCCCGGAGACGCCTGTCTGTGATTCTGCCCGAGCCGTCACAGCACTCTTCCTTCTTCCATTTTGTCCCTTTCAGATTAACACGTAAGTCAGACCTTGACCCTCTTCTGCCCCAAACATGCCAGCGATTCCCATCTTTCTTTGAGTAATGGCCAAATTCTAGAACCTCCATGATCTCACCTCAATTTTCTCTCTGGCTTCTGTCTCTTACCACTTTCCCCTCACTTACTCTGTTCCAGCCACCCTGAGCCCTGTTGTTCCTGGAACACACCAGGCATCCACAGGGCTCGGCACCAGCTCCGCCCTCCTCCTGGACCACTCTCCCTGTCTGGGTGGCTCAATCGGCGTCTTCCGTTCTTCTCGGGAAGGACGTTCCTGGCCACTCTCATCTTGCTGCTCTCTGCCTTATTTTTCTGATGTACCATTTTACTTATTTTATGTGCTGTCTGTCTCCCCCACTGCAAAGGTTTTGGCCTTTGCAGTGTGTTCTCAAACAGAGCTGGAAAAACCATGTACTTAAGAAATCTCTGTTGAACGAGTGGATGAATGAGCGAATGCTCACATGATTCTCAGGCTCAGGGTGGACCCTGTGCAGAGAGATCTCATGGAGACAGTGCATAAGCATCTCACAGAGGCACAAAGGCTTCTCCAGACAGGAGGCAGGCTGCTTCTGCCTCTGGCTTCCCAGCTGTGACAGGGGAAGCAGGACTCCAGAGCAGGCTGGCCTGGGGCCGGGCCGCCTTACCTGATGGGGTAGTCAGCCGCGCTGAGGTTGATGAAGAAGTCCCAGGGCCAGTCGGTCATCTCCAGGAGGTCCCGCATGCTCTGCAGGTACGTCGACAGCAGGCTGGCTCCCCCCCAGATGGTGGCCATCCTCCAGGGGGTGACGCGGATGTTGCTGTACTGCCTGGCGAACTGGAGCACTTGGCGATGCAGGTAATTAGAGCGCTTTTCCCAGGAGAGAAAGGGTGACATTCAGCAGTGCAGAAAACACCAATACCTGTCCCTTGCCCCCTCTCTGTCCCTTCCCTTCTAGTTGACAGGGCTTTTGAACTTTGCCAAGTAACTGATTCAGGCCTAGGGTGTCTTTCTGCATTGCTATTTGAACTTCATTATTTTTAAAATATTACTTTAGCTATCTGAAATGCAGATTCCCTGGCCCCGCCTCTAAGCCTGGTTCACTAGGTGTAGGCGGGTGCCTGGGAGTCTGCATTTTTCTACAAGATGGATACATATGGTCTGAGGTTAACAAGCTAAGAAATATAGCTGCATCTAGACCTGATGAGTATTTCAAGAGGTAGAATTTCTCCATTACCCTCTCACAGGCCTGCAAGAAGCAAGCTTTTTGGATAGGCATCCCCTTTGCCTTCTTGACCAAAGACATAGTCATGTCACGTCAGCAGACCGACAGAAACCTCTGGAACAAGATGCTCAGGGGTCAGCAAGCTGGCTGCAGGTTTTTTGTAAAGTTTTATTGAAACACAGTCACACGCATCCATTTACGTATGTTTTTTATGGCTGCTTTCATGCTACAATGACAGAGCTGAGTAGCTGCGACACAGCGTATGGCCCACAAAGCCTGAAATACTTGCTCTCTGGCCACTGACAGAAACAGTGTGCCCATCCCCGGGTTAGTTATCTTCACAGAGCGACAGGCACTGCATCGGGCAGTGGGACAGTGAGGAAAAGAGGTACGAATGACAATGTTTATGGAGAAAGTCTAATGGGAACTTTGAAACCAACACACACACACACACACACACACACACACACACACACACACACACA